CATTAGCACCTCTAGTAATATATTTACTGAGAAAAATGTTGACGTGTTCAATACTTATTTTACCCGCTGTATGTTTGCAAAGATGTCTAGGATTGGCAGCATGATAGCTCAATGGTTAGCACCGATGCCTCATAGCAAAAAGGTCCTGGGGTCTTTCTGTGGACAATTTGTATGTTCTTTTCATGCTTGCCCGGATTTTCTCTGGTACTCCAATTTCCCCCACAGCACGAAAAACATGTACAATAGGTCAGTGGTTTTCAACCCTGGTCCTCAAAGCACACTGCCCTGCATGTTTTACAGGTTTGYYTGCTTCGACACACCTGAATCAGATTGATATGCWATCAGTTACCAATTGAAATCAGCTGTGTTGAAGYAGGGAAACATCTAAAACATGCAGGGCAGTCTCTGACCTGAGTTGGACTAAATCATATTGTAAATTAAATTGACTGCACTGGATTGAATTATAACTGGTATTGAAACTAATTAGACTGAATTAAATACCATAAACTGACCTGTTGACTTTTCCATTACAGTTCCCTGAGATTATTTGGTTGTGATCTGACACTAAACTGATCTGGAATAAATGTTGCTTTGGTCTCCTTCTTTGCAGTGAGTTTATTGGAGAAGACGGGAATGAGAAATTCTGGCAGTTTGTTGAAACAGTGAAAGAACTCACTGTTTACAAGCAGGGAGGTGTGTTCATCCAAACTAATTAGTTTATAAGAGAAGCACATTTGTTATATTCAGCAGGTTTTAAATTCTAATTATGGTCTCCATAATACATTTCGACTTCAAAAAAAAAGCCTCACTTTTCCCGATGCTCTTCTCACAGAATCTGTCCGCTCTTACTACAACTTGATCATTAAGAAGGCGGGCCAGTTCCTGACAGATCTGCAAGTAAATCTGCTCAGATTTGCTCTKTCTATGAGGTCCTACTCACCTGCTGTTCACTCATTCCAGCAGGTAGGTTTTATTATGGACCACTGCCTCAAAAGGTGGCCAGTGTGTGGGTTTATCTGCTTGACTGTCTTTTAGCAAAATATCTTATACAGTAAATTTCTTAACAGATTTCAATGAAACTTTCRAAAACCAATCGTTGGATGTWSATCTACAAGTGAATTACTTTTGGAGTTAGCCTGCTTGAAGGCAGCTGCTACAGCTAATCAGTTTTTGCAACTTCAGCTACAACTCACTTKTACTGATATTGATTTCAAATTTGTTAAGATAGTAGCTGGGTGTCCTCCCTAAAACATACTCTGAGCTCCAACAGCTCACACAAGATCTTTGTTTAAAACATTAWACAAAGCAGCAGTTCATATGCCTTCCTTCAATGTTTGTTGCTTTTATTATAATTATTATTTAGTAGTAAGTAAAGCTATCACACTATAAATACTTAGTTTTCTTCCCATTTGGTTTTGCACAACCAAAACTTGTTAGCATGTCAAGCAATAATTATTAAATCAGAATTGTTTCTTAAAGGTTTAACATTACAATGCAAACATGAGTTTAGCGTTTAGTGATGAAAAACAGTTTTTTTGTKTGTGTATTTATTTACTTGTTCTATATATGCAAATGTCTGAAACATTAATCAAGTAAATGTTAAAGCGTGCATGTTTATAGTGCTCGGTGAATACAGCAGACTGATTTGAAGTAGCACAGCTCATAAATATGGATACGGTAAATCACAACACCTTGATGTGTCATATGGAAAACCTAGTTTGACATGAATAGTYTAACAGAGAAAAGATGAAAACCATGTTGATTTTATAACATTTGTATACATTTTTAAATTGCCTTGATTTTGTGYAGCAGGATGTTTTTCTTGATTGCACAAAGGTTAAATTTAGACATTTGTCTATGTTCTGGGAATACATAAAAATTGTGTTTTCTAGTTAAACATTTGTAATGCTCATTTCACATTAGCTCAGAGTTTGCATCTTTTTTTTCTCATTTGTGAAATTATTAATAAAAGCAGAGATTATTTTTTCAGGAAACAAAACAGAATGCAGTTTACCTCGACGTTGATAATTTGGAAAACACCAGATTTTGTGTCATTTATCGTCACTATTCTAATGAACGTTATTCTCCAATCGGCCTTAACCAGATAGCCAGTGATGAACCTCCGCCTGAGGCTTGTCCTGCCTTTGTCTCCGTCCACGGTGAACGGAGCTGCAGCGCCAAGGACATCAAGAAKCTTCTTAAAGCTGCTGCAGGCAGGTAACATAGACCTGAGCAGCTTTCTCTTTTCTCACTAAACTGATTCCATCTCTGCTGAACAAATGAAAACAATGGCTTTGAATCTTTTCAACAACTTCCTTGAATGCTTGCAGGCCCAAACCGTATTTGTACAAGAACGATCACACTTATCCGGGAGTCAATAAAACAGACACGCCTGTTGTGATCCTGTATGCTGAAATTGGAACCAAGAGGTTCAGCTCTTTTCATAAAGTGCTGTCAGAGAAGGCAGAAGAAGGTGCTCTTATATACGTTCTGCGGCATTTTGTAGCGGTGAGTATCTTTTTTCATTGGTTTTACCCAAAACTGGGGTTTACAGGTTTATAGTTTGCCCGAGGCCGGAGTAAACCCGGGGGATAAAGTGTCCTAGACCATATTATAGTGGAGTAAAATAGCTTAGACCCCCAGGCCAGAAATGTTAGGGTTAAAATTAAGCAATTCTTGTGAATATGAAACAATGACATCATGGTGGTATAATCTGACCTAAGAGGAAAAACAAAACAGAAACTAGCTGCAACTAGCTGCTCCAAACATTAGCATGCTAACGCATATAGCGGTGCAGCAAGGAAAAATGTCCCCCGGGAAACAACAGTTCACTGGCGGCCGCGACAAAACGTTCCGCTATTTAAACCGGAATGTCCGGTATTCAAAAAATTCATATCATAACAAAAATAAAAACCGGTWTTCGGTACAAAACGGTATACCGCCCAGCACTAGATCGGAAGATAGCCGTTTCAACTCCAGGTTGGTCTCCATGTTGCACGTGTGTTCACATGTGTTGATAGATTAAATGTAGAGACTTAAAAGAGACCTATTATGCAAAATTCACTTTTTAAAGGTTTTTTTTACTCAACTTTGGCAAATAGGCTTTAACAAGGCTTTAATAAGCTAAACAATAGAAGTACATGAGAAAACATGTTCATAACAAACGAAAATAAAAAATTTAATTCTTTGTGTCCATGTCGGTCTCGATCCCTAGTCTCTCACCCTCTGAACCAACACTCTACCCACTGTGTTATTGGAGACTTGTTATAAAATGAGCTGCACATTATACAACAACACCGTGACGGCTTTTTAGACAGAGGAGCAGCTTCACCCGGGGGTTGCTAGGTAAGGGTCTGAACGCAGGTTCTGGTGGGTTGTCGTACGGCTTGTGACATCACAAAATGTATAAAACTTGTCATTAATATACATTAAAATACATTTACTTACAGTAAATATGCCCTTGGGTGCATTTTTTGGTCCTAGGACTGTTTTCTTAATAAGTACACACTCAAAGTTGAGTAAAACAACTTTTAAAAAGTGAATTTTGCATAAGAGGTCTCTTTTAAGTCTCTAAACTTAACCTGTCACACATGTGAACACTTGTGCAACATGGAGACCAACCTGGAGTTGAACCCACTATCTTCCGATCACAAGCTTGGCTTCTCTACTACCTGCACCACTACCCTAGTTTGTGATTTCTGAGTTCAAATCTTTTATGAGTTCAACCAAAAACTTAGAAAGTCAACCAAAAACTTAAAGCGTCAACCAAAAGTTTGAGATTCAACCAAAAGTTTCTGTTTTGCAAAAAACGTTTTGATAGGTTTTTTTTATTTTTTGATTGAAACTGCTTTTTTAGTTTGGTTGAAATAATTTTTTTTGGTTGAAAATATTATTTTTTGATTGAATTTATTTTTTGTTTGGTTGAAAAAAATATTTTTGATTGAGATTTTTTTTTGATTGAAGATGCTTTTTGTTTGATTGAATAATAAAAACACAAATTTACCTCCATATGATAGAAGATTATCACAGTGAAACAAAGTACTCACTTTGTTGCATTTAAACTGTTGCTTTACTTGTATTTTCTGCAGGATCCAAAGCCTCAGAAGATCCTTTTATCAGGGTATGGTGTAGAGTTGGCTATCAAAAGCACAGAATACAAAGCTGTGGATGATACCAAAGTAAAAGGTTAGTTATTGTGCATTATCTGCTGGTTCCAGCTGTRTCAGAGCCTGTTAAACACATGTCTTGTTTCGTAGATTCAAAGACAGTCCTCAATACTGAGGAGGATGATAATGATGAAGTTCAAGGATTCAATTTTGCTAAATTGAAGTAAGTTGCAGAACCGGGCTGTATTAACTGCTAAAGTATATAAAAATTAATTTAAATGTAAAATAAAAATCTTTTTTTTATGTTCCTGTTAAGAAAATCCCACCCTGAGCTTCGGGAACAACTTGGTGAGCTCCGTAAACATCTCCTGGAGAGTACCAACGACATGGCTCCTCTTAAAGTGTGGGAAATGCAAGGTACTACATTCATATCACTTTTTTGAAACTCTCAATTTCAGCTAAAGTTACACCAAAAATTGTACAATGCAGTACATACCAGTAAAACATGTTTATACCATTGTTTGGTATTTAATTTTATTAAATGTAACTCTTTTCTCACGTGTCGATATCAAGGGTGTAAGTTTAGGTCTACCTTTGGTGGAGTTATGCTCTGAAACCCTGCATGTCATTTTCAGCAATTATGCTTAAATGCACATATATGACATCGTAAATTTTTAAATCAGGTCAAAGTTACGACAACAAGAGAGTTGCATCTGTGTACTTAACTAGTTAATTTCTATTGTGTTTGTGATGTCATTTTATAGGAGGGTTATATTGACTGGACTATTGTGGGGATCATAACCCCTGTAACCCCCCTGCAAATTATGCCTATGGTCGATATTAATGTTAATTATGAAAAAACTATGATAGATCTTCTTAAAAACAAATTTTCATTAGTTAACAATTTACCTATGCAGAGCCCATCAAAGGTCACATGACTCAAATAACCCTATTTTAAAATGTCTTTAATCTGTTTTTAAGTTGCTCTCACTTGACTTTTTCATCACCTTTGCAACTTGTGCCTACTTTTTTATAGTCCATATTTATGGGTTTGTGGTTCTTTACGTGACTTTATGTAAAGGTGTTTTCCACCTTTAGTGTAGAAGTTCATGTCAACAGCTGCTGAGACTAAATGGCACATTTGGACACTTCATATTAGGGCTGGATGACATGGCTGAAAAATGTATCATGATTTAAGCATACCATATTAGGTGATACCAATAATTATTGATTAGTTTTACATACTGTATTTGAAATAAGGAATGGGTGAAAAAAGGCTGATTAATGCTACCAGGGGTGAAAATCAGCAGCTTTATCACAACACATGAAATATTAATTTGTTTGGATGATGATACAAAGTTTTGGATCATCATCAATATCATACAATGATTTCACAAAATCTGTCATGATACAATTTTAATTCAATTCACAAGTCTGCAATCGATGTGATGAAATATCATATGCCCATTTAACACAATCATTGTGTTAGATGGGTGTATTATATCGATTCACATCAGGCATATGATGACAATATGGATCGATGTTTTCAGTTTGCCTTGATGTAATCGAATAATTCATCATTTAATTGATACTGTATATCAATATATTGTTACACACCTAATGTCAAACTAATGATGTGACCTTTCCTCTTTTATCCACAATTTCCTCTCAAGCTGTTGAACTCATTTTCTTCTTTCACGCCACACTGTTCTTTTTTTATTTTTAATCAGTTATTGATTTTAAGTTTGGCCCACTCAGGGAAAGTGTTTGGGCACCCCTGCCCTAGAATGCTGTGTGGTTCTGGATYGGACTTCAATGAAATTATCATTCTATCTGACATATTAATCATGTGTCTATTGCAATATAGATTGYTATTTTTTTATCACCCAGAATGTAAAATTCTTCCCAAAACCGAAACCACTGAATAATAGAAAACAGTCAACTTTTTGTTTGTCTTTCAACATTCATGTGCGTTTGTAAAATTCCAGTTCTGTCCTGTGATCTTCACAGATCTAAGTTTCCAGGCTGCTGCCAGGATCATGTCTGTGCCGAAGTTTGATGCTTTGAAGGTCATGCGAGACCTCAGCCAGAACTTTCCAAGCAAAGCAAGGTAAGAATTTTTTATTATTTTTGTCTAGCAGACTGGATATTACTTATGGTACAACTCCAAAATTCATATTACATTTTTACTTTGCATTGCAGAGTCTGAATCTAAGCACTATGGGTGCTTGTTAAAGTACATGAAATATTCCTCATATAAACCCTTTTATTTGAACATAATTACAGTCTCTCCCCTCCCTGGTCTACTTTACACCACTACAAGATATACATATAAATATACATTAATCTGTTATACAGAGATCTAATGAGCTTTTTTGATCTTTGCATATTTTGGCTCAGGCAGATTTTTTAATAACTTGAGAAAGTGCTGAGTAGGAGCTGGTTGTTTACAGCAAATTGACTGCAAACTCACCATCTTGAAAGCCCACAGGTTTTTGAAGATTAAAACTGGCATTTTACAGCTGGCTGGGGATGTGCTTAAAGCTGATGGTGACTGTACATGTTTTACTGTTCCCACAGATCACTGACAAGAGTGGCTGTAAAGAAGGAAATGAGAAAAGAAATTGAGGAGAACCAAAAGGTGTGATTTCATAAGCTGTCTTCCTGCAGGATTGTGCAGCCGCTATCTTTGAGAACATCTTTTATTTTTTAAAGGACTTCTATATGACCTCTGCTTGTAGTTGTTTTTCTAGATTTTGTTTGCGTTTCATCCCTTCTATTTCTCTTTTCATCTAGTTTGTCCTAAAAATACAAGCATCAGTGGTAGAAACACTCATTCAACGTGTGTTTTGACCTTTGATTGACATGTTGAGCTTGTTTTTTCAGCGCCTTGGTGAGACGGTTGGTGTTCACCCGGGCTACGGAGAGCTCTTTATCAATGGCTTGCACATTGATCTGGACATTCACAACCCTTTCAGGTATGAACCCATAGAAGGACAGAAAAGATCAGTGTGCCCAATTCAAATGTACATATGCTGCACAGTAAATAACTTCTAAAAAAATATCTACATGTTTTGTTCTCGCAGCATTTTGGACATCCTCAGAACAGAGGCCAGGATCTTGGAGGGACTCCATAACTTAGGCATTAAAGGAGAGCATCAGGGCAAGCTGCTGAGATTACCAGTGAACAGTGTGGATGACAGCTATGCCTTAGACATCAGACATCCAGCCATAATGGTGAACCCAATCTGACAGAATAATTCTTTTACCCTTGAATTCGTCTGTCAGATCAACTCTGCAGATGTTCTTTTCATTGTGGGCTTAGACTGGTTTAGGAATTAAACAATAAAGCTTCTGCGATTCTCTCTACACTGCCTGAAACCTTCTCTTACCACTCACAAAGAAACAAACAAACAAAAGTACATACARTTTTAAAGTAGAGAGTAGGACTGTGTATTGGCAGTACTTTGGTGATATGATATACAGTATATCACAAACAGGGGTTGCAATATGATACACTATATTGCAATATGTTGCAATATAATATTTAAAAACAGTATAAAGAGCACACCATACATTATACGCATGCAATCTGATTAAATTCAATTTATTTTTATGCAATCAGAAGAACACTAAGCAGTGAGAACTGCATTTGTATTTCACATTTACTCTTGCCAAATGGCAAGCTGACTGCTGCCAACTAGTGGTTGGAGGTTAAAATACAACACAAAAATGAACTGCTGTCAGGAAAGTTTACATTTTAAGCCTTAATTAAAAATCAGTCCAGTATCAGGAAATGAAATAGTGTGATATTTCAGTGTATTGATGTTTTTTTTATACACCCCTAGTAGAGTGTATCAGGTTTGTCTACATTTAACCTGAATGTGTTTGTTGCAACCTGGATGTTTCTATTGTAGTAGAAAGGCATTTAGTATTAAATAGTTACTCTAATAAGAGCACATATAAAAATTGCAACCATCCCTATCCTATTTGAAAAAACACAATTCTTAATAGTAGAACAAACACAATGTTGGAGTCCTTGACAAATACACCCTGAATCATCACTGTTAAAGATGCTAATTGAAACATGAATACATCCAATAATACAAGTAAGATGTTCTCAACATCTCTGACTTCATTTGTTGCTGTGTATTTGCTCTGTTAGAAGCTTCAGATGCAGACTGGAGGAAAACAATAAGAGAGTTTCACAATTTTACTCTAAAAGGCCCCATTAACTTAAAACATAAAAATACCCTTTATTCCATATTAAATTGGATTCTTTATCTGCATTGGTTCTGTGGTTGCGGTGTTGGTACCGTAAATAAAATAGCTTTTTGCTTTTTGTCTCGTTTGTCTTAGTGGATGAATGACATTGAAAATGACCCAATATACAGGAGCTGGCCTGCGAGCGTGCAGGAGCTTCTCAGAGCCACCTTTCCTGGAGTCATCCGACAGATCAGACGGAATTTCTTTAATCTGGTGAGAACAAAATAGTGAAATGGCATAATGTCTTTAATGTAGATTCCCCTATCCTGAATCAATTATATATATTTTTCTCAAGGGAGGAGTGAACTCTCGCATCAGGTATTTGTCAGGCACATGTTATTGTACCCCCTGTAGCATGAGAGCCCCATGAACAGCCATTTAACTAGAGGAGTGTCTTCGGCTTTCTGACACCTTTCAGCAGGCGACGCCTCAGTGCACTGTGCCGAACCTTGGGTTCACCAAGAGTTTTTTTTAATACTACGTAAATTTTGTAAACTTCGTATGCAGCGTGCAAGTGACCGCAATTCTTTTATGAAGCCAGAGGAAGACACACACAGAATAATTTGTGTCAACTTGGATAGAGGAGGTGGGAAGCATTTTTATAGCTTCAGCCACCGCTGTCGTATTGTTTTCCCATCTCCAGTCCAGGTCAGTTCGTAACTTTTATTATGTACGTAAATTTTGTAAACTTCCAGAAGCCTCGTAAGAGGGTGGTGGTGGGCGGGGGGATAATTATAATAACTTAAAATGGTCTCCAAACAGTATTGTCTTATCAAAATAATTTCTGAGAAAATTTATCATACGTCGTCGCTTGAGTTAAATGTRCCCCCAAAACAATCAATTATTGATGTAGAAATTATGTTAGAAGCATAAGAATTCACTGAAAACTCATATTTTGACATCCATAATGGCTTTGAGTTAGACTGTGTTTAGCTTCATGAGGACTGCTTCATAATGATGCCTCTGCTGTTAGGTGCTGTTTCTAGATCCTCTACAGGAAGAAACCGTGGAGTTGGTGAAGCTAGGGGAACTCTTCTACAAACATAAAATCCCTCTGAGGTCGGTGTTGTCATTTCTCACACTTCCACAGATGTTTATGTGTCCCACTCTCGGCATTTATAATCTTTACAAGGCAGTGATTCTCATTTTACCTGCAAATTGAATACTTGTTTTGCTCCTTCTTCTGTAGAATTGGATTTGTGTTTGTTGTCAACACCAAAGATGAGATTGATGGGCTCTCAGATGCTGGAGTTGGATTTTACAGACTGCTGAATTACATTGCAGACGAGTATGATTTATCCCAGGCTGTGATGTCTATAGTCTCAGTAAGTACATCACACATATAAATCTCTTGTTTTAGCAAGTGTTTCTTGCCAGCTCATATCTCTGTGTGTCTCAGAGGTCCATAGCTTTATTGTTCCTGCCTGATGTTAGCCTGCAGTTTTAAAGCTTTTTTTCTGACAAGATGAGTAAATAGCATATTACCTTAGCCATTAGCTTTTTCAAAATAGAGATGGAAATTATTGACATTGGCAGAGATCTGAAGACAGTGATGCTCAGGCYTGAAATGCTGTCTCATTCTTTACAGCTATACGGTCAAGTAGACGTGGGGGAGAGGCTGTCTGCTGAGACAATCTCTRCTTACTTGAAGAAAAAGTACCCAAAAGCAAATGTTGAGAGGATTTTAGGAGTWGATTCTGTGTATGATTATAAAAGAAAGGTGAGATAAAGTCTTTAATTGTTAATCAACCGTAATCAGTAGTAATAAATACTTACCACTGGAAATTTGCTCAATCATTTTTTGTGCTCTCAGGACGGTTCTCTCTTTTACAAAACAAGTGGCCTGGGTGCCCTGCCTCTGGCTTTATTTAATGGAGTTCCTCTTAACCCAGACGAAATGGACCCGGAGGATTTGGAAACCATAATCCTGCAGCGCATAATGGATACTACCACTGCCTTTCAGAGAGCTGCCTTCATGGTAAAATGAACTTCTGTTTCTCCTGTGAAACGTTTTTAGATGGAAATTTGTAACTTTTAAAGGGGACATATACAAAATCCACTTTTTTAGCCATTAAATGCATTTTTTTGTGCACTCGGAGTCTCCGATAGTGCATAAAATTAGAATTTAGTTTCTCCTTGTGCTGTGTAGATATATTTATATTCTGTTTGGGTCATATTTTTAAACCCATTCAGTTTTTTTATTTTCTATGATGTTTTTTGAACTATTACGTCACCGTTTTTGCGACGGAACTGCCAAATAAGGTCTGAACTTACCAACTACGATTTGGTCGTCTTCATTCTCCTCTGGCTCTGGGTCAGACTCTGGCTCCAACATGTGAGGCTGGATGGACAAGTCTTCTGTTGTTGACATATTTTAATTAATTTGTAAATAAAGTTTCTGTGCTGCTACATTGTCTTAAACCCCTCCATTAAACTAGAATGGACCGCTCTGGAAACTGGCCGTGGGGTGTGAAGCGCCTCGTATGGATTTAAAGAGACAGCATCAAAACGAGTTGATCTGAGACTTGCCTCAGAAAAGAGCCCAACTGAATGGTTTAAATGTGAAAAAGAAGGATTTAAAAGTACACATCTCCTTTAAGAAGTTAAAACAAATAAATGTAGAGTAGTGTTGAGGTATTCTGAAATTGGTTACATTTTCTAAAGAGATTTTACTGAATAACTTTCATTATTGATGGAAGATTCAAGGTCACAGCAAAATTTAAATGTTTTTATCTCGGCTTGTTGCTCCATTTGTGGTTTTATTAACTCTTGGTTTTATCTTTTGTTCATACGCAGAACTAACTTGCCATTGATTTAACTTTGAAACCTCTTGGTCCTTGACTTTTCAGGGTCAGCTAACTGACAGCTCAGATGTGGTGGATTATCTAATGGAGCAGGCGAATGTGGTTCCCCGGATGAACCCAGTTGTTTTAAGCACTGACCGAAAGTACCTGGACTTTACAGGCACACCAGGTGGCCCTTGCGTTTCATTTGACATGTTTTAGTTTTTGATTTACTGCTTGGAATTTTTTTTGTCATGTCATTCTTCTTTACTTTGCATACAGTTGTAAATGACTGGGAGGACACAAGTATGTTTTCATTCTTGGATGCAAGAGACAAAACAGCTGTGATTTCTAAAAGACTAAAGTATTTCACTAATAGCGGTAAGTATTTACATTGCCTTTTTTAATCTGTTGATAGTATCTTGATTACACAACCAGAAAAACCTGCAACTGTAAAAGCTGTCAACACAGAACTAGTTTTTGACTTAAGTTCAGTAACTGCTGGAGTTGAAGCAGGTGACTCTGTGTGTATTGATGAAGAATTTGCAGCAGTAATGATGACACTATACCATTCTGTCACAGTAAGGAAGACTGAGCTATGAGAGCTCAGGTATCTTGTTAAGGTACCTTACTTGGACTTGTGTGAGTAGAGGGTAATCCTTGGGGGGTACCCAGGACATGAAAGATTATGTTGCTCCTCTAGTTTTGGAACACCAGGAAGAAATGGAGAAAATTGCTGGGGTGAGGCAGGATGAAAGGATGGTTCAAATATCAGTGGAATGTGTAAAATGAGCTATGTCTAAACATAATGATCCCTACACTGCTTTTTCAATGGATTAAAAAGTGTAATTGACCTTGGTTGGGGCTGATAGGTCGATTTGCCAGTAGAGACACTGCAGAGTTTTTTAAACGTTATTTGGTCAAATGTCTAATGGTCCTCAAATTTGTTTTGACATGCTATCAGGACAACTTCAACCCCATGGACTAATATTATCTATGGACTTTCTGGGATGTGGTATTGATCGATTAGCAACAAATCCTTTAGTTTTTAGGATGGGGTCTTAAAAATTTGGTGTTTCTGGCCTAGGACTAGGCGATAAAACAATAACTATATATATACAGTATATATCGCGATAGACACGTGATCAATGTAAATAAAAAATACATTCGATAGAATGTTGATAATTTTCCTGAACTCTGTACTGCATGGCATTCTGGGGATGTAGGCAGAGAAAAGGCTTAGTCGCTTAACATCTCATGGCCCAGCTAAACAAAGTTGGTGGCATCAACTAACTCACTCACTCTTTGATAAGCCATCAATAACCTGTTGAGTAAAATGTGCAGTAGCTGTTTCATGTTTCGCCACCGTGCCTCATAACAGCTTAAAAAAAACGAATGGCATGGAGTGAAAGAGAAAATGARTGMAACAGYTCAAGAGAAAATTGTTGACRGAAGTGGAAAAGTCACGTCRCCAGTTTGTCAATATTTCAGATATTTTAAGYCTAAGAGTCAGGATGATGTCTGCAAACTATGCGAGGTCGGTGTTCCTAMCAAGTCTGGCAATACGACAAATTTATTTTATCACCTCAGCCGCTCTCATCCACTGGATTACAGCAGCGTCAAAAATCCACAACCATCGACATTTGGAGTGGAACAACACACACGCTGGAACAACCATTGAAAGATACTCAGCAGCAGTGCCACACGATTTGACAGCTTCTCATAGTTGTGTTGATCTCTTTTTAAATGTTACATTTAAAACAAAAGTATTTAAATTCAGTCTTTTTTTCTCCTGGTCCTTATTCCCAATAGATAAAAAACATTGACACTAGCTTTGGTTTAATTATCTATTGACTGATTTAAAAAAAAAACACATATCACAACACATCTTCCAGCCCTTTTCTGGCCTTGGAATTTGATCAAATGTCTGATTATTTCTGGACASTTTAAAGATAAGATGGATGCTTAAGTTGCTTTGCTGTGTTTTTCGGGCCATACCATTACATTTTTTGTTGGAACCCCTTCAGTCTTGTGAGGGGGATGTGCTGCTACTGTAGTGAAGTGGTGCTTCCTTGTGGAGAGGTGTGCAATTAAGATGCTGAAATGTTTAGGATGGTGGCACACATCAAACTAATGGTAGGTACTCTCAGCACAGTGTTTTCTAAGCAGTGGCTTTAATGTTTTGGCTAATCTGTTTATAACCCTTTAAAAAAGGCTTGTTTTCACTTTAAGACAGAGCATAAAAGTTGTCAGATGAAAGGAGTGTTGGGGAAAAAGATGAAGCATTGAGTAATTATCTGCCCTGAAAGCAAAAGTACTCCATCTAATTGAGTTGCCAAATGAGTTGCTGTTACTTGGAGAGCAACAACATTTTAGTTAAACCAGGCCTTAGACACTGTGCGTTTCAGAAGAACATCTGTGAACAAACCAGACTACGAWCTGGACGGAATTTAGCTGGATAATAAACATTAGMTTTTGCTCATGTGAGTGAATACTTGAATGTGTTTATCTGCTAAAAGCCAGTGCGCTCATCTTCTAATGCTGCCTGGCATATCATGTCACAATGTGCGTGTCATCCCAGGCTGGTGCCAACATAACAATGAGTTGAGTGTCGGCCAGCCATGTCCGCAGGCATCAAGTACCAATACAGGTGTTTAGGATATGTTTGAAAAAGAAATTTGTATCTGTAATCTGTAGCAAGTTTGTAATTCCCAGAGCTTGACTGGTGACAGAAGGAGAGGGGCTTTTATTGGTCAGGGCTCCCAG